ACGCGAGATGTTGGTCAGTCAAATACTCATAATAAGGCGATGTCTGATAATGGTGGCATGAGTTGGGGGGCATCGTGTATAATGATGCGACGCTGGGCTGTGTCAGTCAAAATAAAAATTTGTTATATATATATATATATATATAATTAATGACACGCACGTGTATACGGGTACGAAAACCAACAAAAATAAAATTATACAGAAAAAAAAATAGTGTTGTCGCCGACTGGTGAGCGGGGTGGGGTGAATGCGTTACGACGGTCTAGTCTCAAGGTCATAGACGACGGCATACGCGACATAATAACACGTGCCGCGTGGAGTTACAAACTTACAACATACAACATATAAACAACATACACGTGAAACTAATATAAGCGTGTTAAAAATGACGATACGGGAATCATTCCCTGTAATCGGAATAAATACACTATAAATCACTTAATGAGAATAAAGTGTATTAATATATAAGTTTTAATAGTAATTAGAATATATATATATATATACATGTAAAGACACATAAGTACGTTAACATATCATGCACGAGGTATAGCCGTGTTTTGTGGGCGGGCGTGGCAGGAGGAACGTTATACACGAGGTATATACGGCGGCAGCGGCGTCGGCTGTAGGGATATATAAATTAATATTAACATATACGTATATATAAATATTAATATATATATATATTAATATTAGCGGTGGTGGTAAGAATATATGATCTTCGCATATTATTGCGGCACTTTCGCTGGCGTCGACGACGCGATGTCCGGCGTGATCCTCGGGCGTCAAAAGGTTAGCAGCGTAGATGACGACGGTGCGCGAGTGTAGATCGGTTTGTTGACGTAGTCACTTTGACAACGAGAAGAAGACTACGAAATCATTAACGGCGGGACGTCGTCGGCCGTGCGGCACTTGCTGGACTTTGCACCGCGGCGTATAATACGCGGCATGAGTCGATTGGAACTTATATAGATTTACAACCAGCAGTTATTGATGCCTTAGAAAATATTTCGAGTACTTGGATAGACTCAAAAATAACATCCGGATCTTTTCAACTACTATCAGCAATAAAAACATCAGAATTAAAAATTTAAATTCTCGATTTGCATTCAGTACATGCATTGTCTTTATCATTGAGTAGAGTTTTACAACCGGAAAATCAAGATTTGATTGAGGCCGTGAAGTTAGCAGATAGATCAAAACACAAACTTGAGAAAAGAAGACAATATTCTACAGATGACTTCAACACAATTTTTATAACTGTAGAAAATATTTGTAATAAGTACAATATATCTGTGACTAAACCTAGACTTGCCTCACGTCAAATTAACCATTCTAACATTATAACCGACTCTGTAGCAGATTATTATAAAATTAATATTTACATACCATACCTTGATCTATTTATTACTCATCTTCAAGATCGCTTCCTCAAGCATCGTAATATTTTTTCAAACTTCTTATGTCTTTTTCCTATTGAAACAAAATCTTTAGATAAAGATTCTTGTAAAAAGTTATTTAAAACTTATTTTTCAATTTTATACGACGATTCTCCAGAAATTTTGGCGACGACGACAAGCTGGTAAAAATATTCGAAACGCCCTCGATATTTGTAATTCAGATGCGTTTCCAAATGTTCATAAAATGTTACGTGTAATGTCAGTTTTGCCTGTGACTACAGTGACTAATGAAAAGTCATTTTCTACATAACGTCGGCTTAAAACCTATTTAAGGTCATCTATGTATATGGGATGAAAATAAAAATAATTTTATAATAGATATATGGAATTACATATGTAACAAAAGCCAAAATAAATGATTATTTTAAGAGAAATCAAGTTTATTATTTTTCTACATTTCAAAAGAGCCATTTTTTAGCTATTTTATTACAAAAAGTTTTGAAAGGCTGATAACAACCTTAGGATAACTACTTATTGAGTTACCAGGATTTTAATACATGGAATGTAACGTGCGTGGAGTATACCTTATAAATATATACCAGTAGCAGTTGTATCTAGCCGCGATGCATACCTATTTTTGATGTGGTGTGGTGTAAAATAATTTAGGTAAGAAACAGAATAACTATAGACAACATTTCATTATTGTGTACTAAAGAGCTTAAAGCCGTTTATTAAATGACTAATCAGATGATCATACGTAATTAAAAAAAAATAATTAAGTAAACGAATAAGTATCTTGATTAGTAACCAAAAACTTTACGGTCCGGCTAGTTGATACAAGTTTTTTTATTAAAATCAATAGGCTATCAATATTAAAAATATTTTAAATACATAATTGAAATTTTTTTCAGGTTTATAGTTTCTACTATTTATAAACCACAATGAAATTTAGCATGTGCCCAAAATTTGTTTTAAACAAAATTTAGAAATCACAATTGAAGTAGTTGGTATGTATTGGTTACCTAGAACAAAAAATTATATAGTTTATTAACTTATCCCATATAAATTAATAACTTTTCGTTTATAGAAACATATTTTAAACAATATTTAAAATTAACTATAAAATTTCAAAAAATAAAATAAAAAATTATTTGAAACAATTATCTAACTTTTAATAACCCTTAATAAGAATATTTTTAATAAGAAAATGAGTTACATTTAGTTATACCTCCTCCAAAAAATTTCTGTAACTCTATCCATGACATTCAGTGTAATTGACGTTGATCAAAAGAAATCTATTTGAAGGTGCGCCTAGGAAAAATTTGAAATGTATTCACCTTAATTTTATCACAACATAAAAAAATTTACGCCAACCATTTAACGACTGAACATAACTTGAAGTTCATATCTTTTAATACTTAAACATTATGTTACATTTTAATTACATAAAATTATAATACATTTCTTTGCGACATAATGTTTAATTGTAACAGCCAAATTCTTCGTAGCTAGGCTAGCATTATTTATGACTAGTACCCATTTGTATTTTTTTTCGAAAATAAATTTATTAGCCGATACAAAAAAATTGATAATAAAATAATCAATAGTTTCGTTTAAGTTGTTATGCTGATGTTATATTCTAAAAAAAAGTTTGTCCTTATATTTTATTTACACGTCGCAAGTGTTTATTTTTCATCCTTTATAAATTTATTACTTATTATTGTATTTAATAATGTAAATTAATATGCATTAAATGTAATAAATCAAAATATTTTAGTTTAACTAATTAAAAAAAAAATATGACCAAAAATTAAATTTAGTACTTATAATTCACGAGTTATTATTAATAATAGTATATGGTCAATGATTATTATTTTATAATTGTATAGATACTATTATAATCACCTAAAAGCTGATAAGCTAAAATTGTAATAATAGTGTTTACACTAACTGAAATAGGCAACTGAACTGAAGGGATAATTTTACAAAACGACTTAATAAAAAAATAATAAGTTAAAATATTTTATACAAATAGTTTTATTTGATTAATCAAATTAACGAAATCTTAAAATTGTTCATAGTCTTATAAGTCTAAGAAATTAATGTTTGCTTTAGAGGTTTGATGAACTGTTTACCGCGTGTTTATTATTGTTTGGGATTAGAGTACAGTAAGTCAAGTGAATAAAAGGTCATAGTCTAGAAAACATACTTTGCTTCTCGAATTATCATTGTCTTACAAACCTTTAAGAATATTTTAATCACTCGTTGAAACATGATTCTGATGTAGTTTACCATCATGAGCGTAACTAGCAGCATCATTCAGCTTTAAATCCGCATCCCCTGTCCTAATTTATTAAAATTACGTGAAAATAACTTTTTTTCATTTTATGAAGTACTTTTATTAGTATTTTCCTATAAACAATTTTTTATTATACAATTTGAAACATCTTTGTGGTTAATTTGATAATCAAAAATATGATAAAGCAAACCAAAAAATGATATAATAGTTTATTAATTAGTAAAATAGTATATAGAGAGAGATAAGAAAACATTGTTTACTTTATGTTTACAATGGCTTTGGTAAATAATTATTTATGGAATGTTATTCGGGGGTGTGGGGCTTTGCATAACATAACATACATAACATAATTTCACCATTCCCAGCATTTTTTCTTTAGTTACTCCGATATTGACCATACTTAAAGGTCTACAAGACGATGGCAATTCGAGAGGCAAATTGTTTTTTCTAGACGATGTCCGAATCTGTTGACTTACTGTACATACAATCCATAAAAGTTCGAGTATAGGAACAATTAATTAATAAAATATCCATTATCATCGCAATATCAACATATGTTATGTTAGATTTGTGTTCATTTTAGATAAGAGTAAGAGACTTCAAGGTTCATATAAAATTTATGTATATTTTATTAATAATACTAATTGAAATAATGATAACATTTTTTAAGTACGTAAAATTAATGTTTATAAGTGTAGTCTATTTATTATAAAATATAGCACATAAAGACACGTGCAAAATTTTAAATGCAATGAAAATTTGGGTGAATAGTACTTTAAAACAGCATGATTGGTCGGGGTGAGGTAGTTATAAGATCCGGGTGAATGTGCTGTGATGTGGGAGCTTATTTTACTAGTAAGGCACTACTAATTAACTGATGCCTTGTGATCGCCTTATCTTACTAATATATAGTGTGTAATGATAGTGTTACTTCTATCTTGTCTGATGAGCATAGACCGACGTTTGATTTACAAAAACAAAAAAATTTAACTTTTTACAAATTTTAAAATGCTCTAAAAATTTAACTACAAAACATTAATAGATATTTTAGTACCAAATTATTTTTTATAATCTACTAAAAAATTGTCTTCTTGAATTTTTTTTTTATAATTTCTGGTAATTCTAAAAAATTAATTTTTTTATCATAGGTGAGGGTTCTGAACTTTAGGAAATCTAAAGTATCTTTTTAACAACTTATAATGATACAAAATAGAAAAATAGTTCGATTGATACCTTTCATGTTCATTTTGAAGCTAAAAATTAATAATGATAACTTTTATAATTAAAATAAAATCAAAAACTAATTCATCTTTATAATATTTACTATCATATGTAACTCGTGTTATAAATATAGCTGTTTATAGTTCTATAAAATAAAATAAATTTCTACAGTGAAAACTAAAATATTAAAAATACATAAAATAATTATATATGACACAATAAAATTATATTAATTATTTTTTTATTAAAGTACAATTAAAATTTTACTTCACAAGGCATTGTTTTGTTTTCCAAAACAGCTAATATATTTCTAGCTGTAAGTTCTGCCATATCTATTCGAGTTTCAATAGTAGCACTTCCAATATGAGGTAACAAAACTGAAAGTCAAGAAAACATTAAATTAATATGTAATAAATTTAAAAAAAATTGTATAACTAGGTATAAAATTTGCAACTTTACATTATTCATAAACAGCCAAATATTTAAATATAAATGTAGATCTTTTACAAATAAATTAGTGATGGGATGTTTGTCCAGATTTGAATGAATCTGGATCTGGGATCATCAGTTATCATTAATTTTCAAGAATTAAACATCAAGTTTAAAAAATAAAATGTTATGATGATTTTTGCAGTTTTAAACAGATTTCCTATGATCGAGGTTTAAATAATCAAGATTTCACAGTACTTGATTTTATCTTACACAAACAAGCAGTTTAAATAAATAGTTTATCAGGAATATCAAAACAAAATAATAATAAAGTTTATCAATATAAATATAAAAAAATAATTATAGTAGATCAATTTTCTTTTACTTACCAACATTATCCAAATTCATCAAAGGACTATCAAGTGGGAGTGGTTCTGGCGTCATTACATCTAAACCAGCACCTCTAATTCTTTTTTCTTTAAGAGCTTCAATTAGGGCATTTTGGTCTATGAGATCTAGAGAAAACATAAATTGAAATTATTCCATTTAACACAAATAACCATATTTCTATAAATGTGCATCTCACCTCCTCTACCAATGTTTACCAAAACTGCATTTGATTTCATTTTGGATAAGCGTTCTTTATTTATGATAAATTTAGTTTCTGGAGTTAATGCAACAGACAAAATAACGAAATCGGATTTTCTTACAAGTTCGTCAACATTGACTAATTTCCCTCCAATAGCTTTCACTATTATAAAGTTTTTATTTTAACATTAATTTCAATGTTTTCTATAAACAAATAAATTTGCAATTCTAGTAAATACTTGCTGATTTTTCGCTTCGGCTTGTATATATTATTTCTGCTGCATTGAATTTGTGTAATTTTTCAGCTATTGATGTTCCAATATTTCCACAGCCAATAATGCCAATAACTGAGTCTTTTATTCCATGTCCACACATCCAATCAGGTGAAAATGTCTTCCAATTACCTCTACGAAGACATACACATGAAAGACAAAAATACTAATTAATAAAACAATTTAAAAAAAAATTGAATTATTCAAATTTAAATAAAAATAATAATTTTACAAAAACAAAAAAAGTTAAGAAAATTGTAATCCAAATCTTTTATATAATAATTATTGAAATATTAAGAATTAAATTCAAATAAGGTAAAAGAATCAATATACATACATTTTCAACTCATGATTTGCTTCAAAAAATCGTCTTGTAGTTGTTATAAGTAATCCAACAGCTATTTCAGCAACAGCTTCTGTCAAAACATCTGGTGTATTACCTAAACGTACTCCATACTTTTTTAACGCTTCTAGGTCTATATGATCATAGCCAACTGACATAGTTCCAACTACTTTAAGACTTGGACCTTAATAGTAAATCCATTGATTAATAAAAATATTATATTTATTCTAATAGATTTATTGAAATTTCATAAATTTCTTTGTTAAAACAAATACTACGGAAAGTTTTACAAAACTTATTTTTTCAGCTTTTCTCATTAATTCTAGAAGAAAAGTTTATAAACAAGTCATTTTTTTTATTTTGGATAAAATATTGAAAAAAAATTAATTTAATTTTGTATAAAACTTTTTTTAAGAAAATTGTAATTACCTTTTTTCAAAAAAAATATTTTGAACTCATTAGAGGAATGAAAACAAATTTTTTTTTATCATTTGAAATATTTCAATGTAGACATTTTAATTGATTGTAAAAGTAATAGCAGATTTTTCAGAGAAGCCTTGACCTTCTTATACATGGTGAGTTACAAAATTATCAATAATATAATATTTTTGATCCAGTATTCATTTTAGTAAAAATTTTTTATAAACAATTTTTGCCTTTTCAGACTACATTAAAAGCATATTTTTTAATATTTGTCTATAATAAAAAGAAATAAAAATACATTTTTTTTAAATTTTAAAATAGCAATTTTCTTATAAAAAATTTTGATGGGTCAATAACAAGTTTAACATTATTTAAGAACTTATTGAGTTATAAGTATTTTAAAACATAATATGAGTATGTTACATACCGTATGTAACACAAGTGGGTACAGCTCATATTGGTGTATATGCACTCTAACCATGCTACATACCCACTTTATTTATTAAAATACTTGTATTTCAATAAGTATTTAAACTTGTTATCGACCCATCAAAGTTTTATGTTAAAAAAGGGTTATTTTAAAATTTCAAAAAAATAATTTATTTTTTTTTATTAGAGATAAATAATAAAATGAAAAATAATAAATGCTTTTAGCTTGGTCTAAAAATGCAAAAATTGTTTAATAAGAAAATTACAACAAAATTTATTATTATTAGATCAAAAGTTATTGGATTTGTCATATCTTTATGACTCAACCTGTGATATATAAATATTTTACATAACATACAAGGCATGATTTTTATTTATGTATTTCAAATAAATATTATTTTTCAGGACCACTTCTCAAAAATATTTAAATTCTACCAAAGAGACTACAAACCAGCAGCTTTTAATAAGTCCTCATTAATCTTAATAGGAGAACAACAAAATATCGCAAATTTTCCTGGTATATTATTAATAATATCTTGTTGATTGGGTTTAGAAGCTTCAGTTGGGCATAACTCAACATCAAACCTAAAAAATATATTCTTAAGTTGCTAATGGGATTATAATAGCATCACACATTTTTTTAGTTAATATTCATTCTTACTTTTCTGACAGTAATTCTATTGCACTTTGAGGAAAATTATGGTGTGTTAACAATACTTTAGGCTTATACATTGTGGTTGCAAATTTTACACTTATGCTTAATGGCCAAAAATACTTATGTTGTAATGAAACAAATACAGTTCTATAAAAAATATTCATTAATATCAAATTTAATTTTTAATTTATTTAATGATAAAAAATTGTATGAATTAAACACAGATTAACTTGACAAACCCATATAATTGATATTTAATAGTAAGTCAAATTACAATAATTTATAAAATCAAGTTAAATTATATACTAAAATTCAAAAAATTATTTTATTTTTTTAGTTAAGTAACATTGAATAGTTTTTTAATGAGCTATGTTAAAATTAGGAGTAAAAAATGATTAGATAGCATGTTTTTATAGTCATAGATAATATTCAATTATGTATGTACATAACATACAATGTAATGTTTCTTTAGATTCTTTAAAGATAATAAACTAGAAACCTCATATACATTGTATAATATTAAAAATTAAGAGTATAACGTTTTTTTGCAACACATAAATTTTATATAATTTAAATTAATTCAATATTTATTATATTTTTTTTTAATTAAAACTTTCTTTTCAGTTATAGATAACATAGATGACTAAAATTTACATATTTTTGAACACATAAATAAAATTTGTAGTCACCATTATTTGTAATCATAGATTTAATATAATGAACCATAACAAACTGAACTAGAGAGCCCATGAAATATTAAAGGCAACTGCTAAAAGAAATTAATTTTGGGTTATCCCTGACAAATGATGTCCCATTTAAAATAGTAATTCACGCCATAGTTAAAGCAACATAAAAAACACTTTCTAATTATTATAAAATACCTAAATAGAACCTTAAAAATCTTATGCAATTATGCTTGAGGATTTTTAGCATCGGTATTGAAAAATAAATTTAACCTACCTAATATCTGAAGAATTGAAGATGAATTGAGTTTATAAAGATTATTACTTCTAAATGAAACTATAAAGAAAACATCAAGGTGTAGTTTTAACTTAATTAAATATACTACAATTATAAACTCCACGACCTCGTATTACAGTAACAATAATTATCGATAAAAACTTAAGATAAATTTGAAAGGTTAAAAAAGTTATGATAAAATATAGCCACTCCCATCGCTATTGTTAAATGAACAAATAATTCTTAATAAAAAAATAGCTGAACATTATTCATATATTCATTTTGAATCCTCATATAAACCGGTTGATGTCAGTCAATGGTACAAATTCATGGAAGAGAAAAATGTTATTAGCTATAAAGAAAAATGATATTTTATTTTAAAAATCATCTATAGTCTACATAAGTTGTCTAGATTACTGGGATGAATTGGTTAATCGATTTAAAAAATTCAAGGCAAGTTGGCACCCAAATTTTTTATCCCTAAAATTTTTAAAACAATTCTAGATCCACCCCTACCAAAATTTGTTTATTTAAAAGCGAATTGTGTCAAAACCAATTAAATTTCATTTGCCCTTAGTAACAAAATTTAAAAAATTATTTATATTTTGTGTAATTAAAATTACACAACTGCAAACTATCTTCAATTTCGGATAATTTCTTATTTAAAGATGCCTACCGCTTTGTAGTAACAGAAAAAAATATATAAAAAGACTTTCTAAGTTGTCTATTAAGTTTAATTTAATAACACTTATATTACAGACATGTTTCGATTTAACACGATATGTTAGACATTGAATATATGGCATATAGTGATTGGTTAGTTTTAAAGTTATTTTTACGTTTAATGGAATTTGCTAGACATACTTAAGCAAAATTTTAAGTATCGTAAATGTTTTTTGCAATACTTAATGCTATTTTATTAACAATTTCATTTTTTTATAAAAGTCTTAACTAATCATTATCACAAACTTAACGCACACATATTGCTATTAGAGATGTTAAGTTCGTGAACGAATAGTTCATTTGAACTATTCACTTAGATGAACTATTCTAAACTGTTTCAGTACCTGTAACTTAACAGTTCACAGTTCGAAAAAAATTGGTAGCAATGTATAAATGAAATAGTTCGCGAACTTCTTTAAAATTTCTCTGTGGTTCGTTGTTCGAAATACTGTAAATGGTTAATAGCTGTTTACAATTAGATAACAAATAAATTATATTGTTAAAATGTTACACGGTTTTTAACTTTTTAACAATAAAATAAATTCATACTATGTACAAATATTAGATCAGATTTCTGATTTAACTTAGGACTACTGGTCAGTATATCTACCTTGAATTAGGTGATAATGATAACATGAGCCATGAGGGTATTGATAATAATTTTTTCTTAGTTTATGATGTTCAGGTTAAGGGTTAGTTTATAACTTAATTGCCCATAAGTAGTGTGAACTACAACTGAACTGTGTACTGCTATACTAATAGTGATAAAATGAATAGTTCATTGCCAAACAATATCAGCATGATCAATAAAATTAGTGAACTTAAGAATAGTTCATTTGAACTATTCACTTGAATGAACTATTCACAGAAATGAACTAAACTTTCCATCTCTAATTGCTAATCTATCTTGACAAAAATATACCTATTTAGGGGACCGGAGCCAGATTTTTTATAGGCCCGAAGAAGTTTTCTGATAAAAACTGTAAATTAGTTCTAAACAAACGTTCTAATTAATACATTTAAAACGAAAAACAAAAAATCAAAAACATGTGATATCTATAAACGTAAAATATCATTTAACATAATAAAATTTATAACATAAAATAATTCATAATAAAACAAAAATAAATTCTTTCAAAAGTTCATATTCAAAAAACCCAGCTTAGGGGGGTCGAGGCACGGTGGTGACGTGGTATAGTTGGATAATGATATCTGACAGTGATTAAAATCACTATAAAAAAAAACGCTTCGATGCAAATCTTTAGATACTGTTTAATTTTAAAAAATTGGTGGATTATTCCAAAAGCTACATGATCTGCTAGTTCCTTATTAATATCCTGATTAAGATAAAGTATGTTGAATGAAAAGGGGATTATTAAAAAATATTATTTCTCATAAAAAAATAATGTTGATCCATACACTTTTCAATAAGTTATAGCATTATAAAGTTAAAAATATAAAAAATAAAATCGAGAATTTACACACAATAATAGCATTCGGTAGCCATTTTTATCGTGAAGACAAAATAATGTCCGAAATTTTTTTTTTTCCATAATAAAGTACATTACATTAGCTTTAATTTAAGATATATATAGAAGTGTCAAACGTTCCGGAACACTTTTAAAATTTAAGTTGAAAAAGTTCTACTTTCAATATGCATTTTTCAGATTTGAACCCCCTTTCCCCGTATATAGGGAAATGGTGTAATTTTTTTGGAAGTTTCCCCCATTTACGGGGATCGAGGAAAATTTTCAATTTTTGAGGGTAATGTCTTCGACTAGATACGATTTGTGATCTTTTGACGTATCGTTGAAAGAAATCCGTTCAGTGAGAGCTGAGGAAAAGTGGTAACAGACAAAAAAAAAAAAACACTTCATAGTAAAACCAAGACCTTCTCAGCTTCACATCATAAAANAAAACACTTCATAGTAAAACCAAGACCTTCTCAGCTTCACATCGAAGCTAAAAAAAATGGAACATGTTTTAATTTTAAAAACATTAAACTTAATTATAAGTTAACGTTCTAATATTATAGTGTTTGGATTTTATCAGATTAATTCAGATATACTCCAATTCAATTAATGTTGAGATATATGATCCACTTAAAAACCAATTAACAAATTCAAAATGTAGAGCATAAAAATAATTATTTATAAATAAAATTGTGTAATATTGAAACAGTACGACTTTTTTTTATAAGATATATATAAAAAAACGGTAGCACAGTGGGGTCGAGGCACAATGTAGACAAGGCATACATGGAACAAGTATAGATGATATCTGACAGTGATTAAAATCACTATCATAAGAAACGCTTCGATGCAAATCTGTAGATAGTGTTTCATTTAGAGAAATTGGTGGATTATTCCAAAAGCAACATCAACTCTTATTTCTTTGATTATATCCTAATTAGTAGTTCTTTGATTTTAAAATATAATATATGAATAAATACTAATTATA